CACCCAGGCGCCCCTAAAAAAAATTTTTTTAATGTTTATTTATTTTTGAGAGAGAGAGAGAGGCAGACCGCGAGCAAGGGAGGGGCAGCGAGAGAGGGAGACACAGAACCGGAAGCAGGCCCCAGGCCCTGAGCTCTCAGCCCACAGCCCGACGCGGGGCTCGAGCTCGTGAACTGTGAGATCATGACCTGAGCTGAAGTCGGACGCTTCACCCACCGAGCCACCCAGCCGCCCCTCAGGGATTTGCTTTTCAAAATAAACGGCATTTCAGTATTTATTCAGCTGTTTAAAGTCTCACACTAGGGCTTTACAAGCTGTTGGACATTTGACAAATTATTTCTCCCGAAGAACCGTAACGCACATTCCCAGACAGTATAAATATGTAATGGAACTAGTATTAATGTATATCATTATTTATAAACGGATTATCAAGTACTAAAAAATTAGTGTAATAAAACCAATGATCAAGTATCCAAAAATTAGGTCACACGGCTCAAAAGACATACACATACATTCTCTCCCTTTTGAAAGTTCCTATTATACGACTTGGCTTTTACGAAGCTATATTGGTACTTAAACTTTTGTTAACCAAAGGAAACGCAAAGAGGATTTTTGCTGTAACCGAAAAAGGCGAAAGGGAAAAATAGCGCTGCTGGGTTTGTTTTGCAAGCCCGGGGTACAGAGACGGCTCGCACCCTGAGCAGCCCCAGGGTCGCCCCCAAGCACCTTGCCCGGGGAACTCAGCATCTCAACATCAAGCAACCCTGTGTCGGCGAGCAATTGCTTTACCTCCGTTCATTTTGTGCATCCGTTAGCAAGATGCTCCTAAGGTATCAGAAAAACCTAAATGTAGTTAGTTTGGGGGTCTGGGAACACTAAAGAATTTTCCATAGAAATTCATGGTAATTCAACGGTCTCGTAGGATTGTTTTCCTTTCAGAGGGTGGGAGGAACCTGTAATATATTAGATAGCGGCTCAGTTCATTGCCAGAAATTCACTTCCTTTTTTTTTTTTCTTTTTTTCAAAAATTTTTTTTTTTCAACGCGTTTGTTATTTTTTAGGTTCAGAGAGAGGGCAGAGCATGGTGGGAGGGCAGAGAGAGGGGGAGACACAGAATCCATAGAAGGGCTCTGAACCCATCAACCCAGAGCCCGACCTTGTGGGGAGACTCAGAACCTCCTGGGAACATGAATCGTGACCTGGCTGAAGTCAGGACGCTCAGCTTCTTTCAAATACCACCTTTCTTTTTAAAGGAGAGGCTGGGAAGAGGGGAAAAAATTCACACTTCAAACAAAAATAGTAGTGGTAAACAACTTCCGATAGGTCTGTAAAAGTTAGGAGATGTTCAGAAATCTTATGATTAAACTTCGTTTTAGTTTCAATAACAAAGCCTCACTGGCCTTTCAGAAATACTTACTAAGTTAAAGGATATATTCTACATGTTTTGCACAAGACAAAAGGCAACCTTTTATTAAAAGTAGGAATAAAGGGGCGCCTGGGTGGCTCAGTCGGTTGAGCGGCCGACTTCGGCTCAGGTCATGATCTCACGGTCCGTGAGTTCAAGCCCCGCGTCGGGCTCTGTGCTGACAGCTCAGAGCCTGGAGCCTGTTTCGGTCTGTGTCTCCCTCTCTCTCTGACCCTCCCCCGTTCATGCTCTGTCTCTCCCTGTCTCAAAAATAAATAAGATGTTAAAAAAAAAAAAAAGTAGGAATAAAGCCTGGGGCGCCTGGATGGCTCAGTTAAGCATCTCGACTCTTGATTTCAGCTCAGATTTCAGATTTGATCTCACAGTTCGTGAGTTTGAGCCCTGCATCGGGCTCCGTGCTGACGGTGGGGAGCCTGCTTGGGATTCTCTCTCTGCCTCTCTCTCTCTCAAATAAATAAACTTAAAAAAATTAATAAAATAGGAATAGTCTTCTCATTCTTCTTTTTTTGAAGTTTATTTTTCATTTATTTGTTTTTTTGAGAGAGAGAGAGTGCAAGTGAAGGGCCGAGAAGGAGAGAGAGAATCCCGAGCAGGCTCTGTGCTGACAGCATGAAGTCACAGGGACTCAAGTTCCTGAACCGTGAGATCATGACCTGAGCTGACATCGGGAGTTGGACGCTTAACCGACTGAGCCACCCAGGCTCTAATTTTCTCGCTAATTTTCAGGCTTTCCCTGTTAAGTTGCACACCAAGTGCAAACATTCCATTAACTGTAAGGCTTTTGCCTGAAGACTTTACAGGGTGTGCTGCTGTGCAACATAGAGTTTCCAAGTGGAGGTTTTCTATTACAGCACAACGTGAGACTTACAGAAAGACAAATCATCACGGTAAGAACTTGGTTGACATCCAACAAAAATCAGTGATTGTAGAAACCCGATGTACTTCGGTACGAATTCGGCGGAAGTGAACATAGAGTAAGCAAGCGAATCACCATACGAGCTTCCACTGTCAATGTTTGAAATTCCTGAAGGCATATACCACATCCAATGAGAGTGTTCATGGCGCCTGGGACTTTCATCCATGTGATACTGAAAATATACACATATTGGGCTGGGTATTTCGGTACTTCGCATCTCTAAATTTTCTTGGCTGTTGATAAGATCTTGGGATGAGAACGGATTTTTTTAAAAAAAATTTATTTATTTATTTTTGAGAGACAGCGTGCAAGTGAGCTCAAGCAGGGGAGGAGCAGAGGAAAAGGGGGGAGAGAGGATCCCAAACAGGCTCCGTGCTGTCGGCGCGGAGCCCAATGGGGCTCGAACTCACAGACCGTGAGATCGGGACTTGCGCCGAAGTCAACAGCCAGGCGCTTAACTGACTGAGCCACCCGGGTGCTGCTGGGATGGGAATAGATTAAAAAAAAAATTTTTTTTTAAACGTTTATTTACTACTGAGAGAGAGAGAGAGAGAAACACAGAGCGTGAGCAGGAGGGGTAGAGAGAGAGGAGGAGACACAGAAGCCGAAGCAGGCTCCAGGCTCTGAGCCATCAGCACAGAGCCCAGTGCGGGGCTCGAACTCACCAACCGCGAGATCATGACCTGAGCCCAAGTCGGTCACCCAACCGACTGAGCCACCCAGGCGCCCCAAGGGATGGGAATAGATTTAAAGAAGACTTCCAAACCAAGATTGCATGATTTCAGCATCTCGCCAAGTGTCCAGAGAGGACCAGGAGATCAGGATCACACGGGCCACCTTAAGACTCCGTCTGCCACATCAGTCTTGTGTGTTTTTTCTTGAGTTCCTTTTTTCCTACATGTTTTTATTTAAATACCAGTTAGTTAACATACAGCATAATATTAGTTTTGGTTTGAAATGTAAATCGAAGGGGCGCCTGGGTGGCGCAGTCGGTTAAGCGTCCGACTTCAGCCAGGTCACGATCTCGCAGTCCGTGAGTTCGAGCCCCGCGTCAGGCTCTGGGCTGATGGCTCAGAGCCTGGAGCCTGTTTCCGATTCTGTGTCTCCCTCTCTCTCTGCCCCTCCCCCATTCATGCTCTGTCTCTCTCTCTCCCAAAAATAAATAAATAAATAAATAAATAAACGTTGAAATGTAAATCGTTGCCATGTTAAGAAAGATCAACTTATGATTTTACCCCAACAATTTTTATTTTATTGTTTATAAATCCCAAAGTTTTATTTAGAAATTAAAAAAAAAAATTATTTTGTTTGATTTACTTATTTAATTTTTTAAACATTTATTTATTATTGAGAGACAGAGAGAGACAGACCGTGAGCAGGGGAGGGGCAGAGAGAGGGAGACACAGAATCCGAAACAGGCTCCAGGCTCCGAGCTGTCAGCCCAGAGCCTGATGCAGGGTTCGAACCTAAGCCAAAGTCAGACCTGAGCTTAACCTTAAGACTGAGCCACCCAGGCTCCCTTCAAAGTTTTATTTTTTAAAATTGTCAAACTGAAGAAAACTTAGAACAGTGTTACCATGAATACCATGAATACACCTTCCACCTGGAGATAACAATTATTATTTTACCACATTTGCCTGATGTCTCTTTTTGTCTTTCAAATGGCTGAGCCATCTGAAAGGACGTTCGAGACACGTGGACACGTCACCTCTAAAGATTTCATCAGGCTTCTCAGAATGACCACATCCCTCTATATAATCACAAGAGTACCAGCTCACCTAAAAAAAAAAAAAATGAACAATTCCCTAAGATAATCTAACCTTCAGCCCATGTTCAGATATTCACGATTGTCCTGAAAACGTCATTTAAAATAGTTTTTTGGAACAACGATCCCATCAAAGTCCACACGTTCTGTCTGGTTGCCAGATTTCTTTGATTTCTTCAGTATCGAAAGCTTTCCCCATCCCTCCACTGTTTTTCCTTTTGGTAATACTGTCTTTTTCAAGAGTCTAAGCCAGGGGCTCCTGGGTGGCTCAGTCAGTTTAGCGTCCCGCTCTTGATTTCGGCTCAGGTCACGATCTCGTGGTTCTTGAGATTGAGTCCCACGTTGGGGTCTGTGCTGACAGCGTGGAGTCTGTTTGGGATTCTCTCTCTTACCCTCTCTCTGCCCCTCCCCCCATGCACCTTCTGTCTCTGCCTCAAAATAAATAAACAGAAAAACTTTTTTTTAATGTTTATTTTATTTTTGAGAGAGGGGAGGGAGAGAGATTGACAGAGCGTGAACAGCGGAAGGGCAGAGAGAGGGGGAGACATGGAATCAGAAGCAAGTTCCAGGCTCTGAGCCATCAGCACAGAGCCCGACGTGGGGCTCGAACCTATGAACCGGGAGATCATGACCTGAGCCGAAGCCGGACGCTCAACTGACTGAGCCACCCAGGCGCCCCTCAAGAAAAGAGA